TCCATAAAGAAATGGTTTTCCTAGCTGGGTGTGTAAAGACTGGCCTGCACTGAGCTCGAACTCAACCCCACATGACACCTTTGTGGACCTAATCAACCAGCATCAGTGCTGGACCTTACTAAGCATTCAAGTTGTGGTTGAATGGAAGAAAATCCCTGCCATCAGGTTTTCCTCTCTGCTATTATAGGAACAAAAATATATAAATAAATACAATTTCAACAAACAGATATGATTTTGAATGTCCACATACTTTTAGCCATTTAGAAAAATAAACATATACTTAATAGTTTTAAAGGTCAAAAGGCCATGATACTTTCTCGAGCATACAAACATCAGTGCAGTACTTTAATTTGTGTTGGGAAAATAAAGAACAGCAGTGTTGTTTTGTAAAATTTCCACATCAACGGCAGTGACACGCTGTTTGTCATCTAAAATTTCTAAAAACACTCTGAAGATTTGTTTTCTTAGCAGATTCTGAGCGTTTGACACTGACATTTAAAACCCTTCGATGAATCCAGCAATAAACAAATAGTAACAGATGACACTCTGTCGTAGAGTTTCAGATCACTCGTGTCATCCGTTTGTTATTTCGATTTTCAGTTTTCTTTTGTCACTTTTCTTTGGGGATTTTTTTTTATTTAAGCCCGTTGGGGTTTCTGTTCTGTCTCACCCACTGAGATTGGATTTCTTTTCATCCCCTGATATTTTTTGAAGTGTTCTTATCTTTTGTATGGATATGCAAATAACTCAACCTAAACCTACAGCAGTAACTGGCTCTGTGTTTTCATTGTGCTACCGTTAACTCCACCGTGGCAGATAATATCAGACTGGGCAGCAGAGACTGGGAACAGCGCACCAACAAGAGTCAGACGGTCTAATATAGAGGTGTGTATTGTTACCATATTTATAGATTCTAATAAAAATACTTCCTTTAAAAACAGATCAATGATTTTCCTGATAAAAGCTATGTAAAACTTATAGAAATAGAAATTAAAATAGTCCCCATTTT